CATCAGGGATTTTGTCAACAGGTAGGACACCGTCACAGGCTACATCACTGCCTGGAGGTTTATCACTTTTCACTCTTTCAAGTATTAACTAGGCTCAATTTTCTGTTTAATTTAATCACATTTTCAAGTGTGTTTAAGACACCCTACTGCTCTGTTTGACGGCTGTCCTTCTGTTGTCCAGGAGCAAGTTCATTTTGTTTTCTTTTCTCCTAAGACTACTCACTGTAATACTGTTTTATTTTCCCTCTAATGTTGAGAAAAGACACATTATGAATATTCATTTCCCTTGTAAAGTTGGGGCAGCAAAACTATGTCATTTTACATGTCTATCTTCAGTTTTATTCAATATATTTGGAAAGGGGTGACCATTTTAATGCATACTAGTAACAAACCAGGAATTGCTTAAAATTTTTCACACAATTTGCAATGATACTAAACCTCTCTCCAAAGCTTTCTGTGCTGACCAGTCTCGATATACCACAAACTCAGGGTATGCTATAACCTGGTCTTGCTCTTTAGTCTGAGTTTCACCAAGCAATGCACAATCAGTGTGCTCCGAATAGCTTTCAAGAGATGTTTTTTGTATTCTAGCTCAGGATATGCTTCACACAGTCCCTTGGAGTGAACCTCTTTTCCTTCTGTCCTCTTTACATCTCCCCTAAATTTACATTACAACCAGCTCTTCTCTACTGGCACAAAAGTTTGGGTGTGCTTATGTTGGAATTGAAACACATCATGCAACTTCTGGGTCCTCTGGGCATGTAAAAGTTTATACAGACTTTCTGCTATCAGAGCTGGCATTAACCTTTATGATTTCTGCTTAACACAAAGCCGTACAAAAAATTCCAAACACTTCACATAACTTACATAAATACAACAACTTCATACACATTTATCACCTCCAACATAAGCAGCAGATAATTTTGCAGAGGGGCGGGGGGAAGATCAAACCTGTTTTTCTCTTGTATCACCTTTAACCTCAGAACGTGGATCAAATACCCCTAAATGGAAGTCTTCTCTTAGCACAAACAGCAGTGCAAGTCTGGAAAGTGTTTCAAAGCTGTAAATAATCACAAGTGAATGGAGTGATAGCACAAGCACTGCATCTCACACTGCTGCTCCATGGGCTCTGTGGTGAAGGAATGAAGCTCTCTATGGGGGTGAGAAACAAATGTTCATTCCTGCCTTTAGAAGTAATTCCCTAACACTTATTTTGTGCTTTACTGATGACTTCTTGTGAAAGAAGTTTATGGTTCCTCAATTAAATCACTCCTTGGAAAAAAGCCCTACAGTGGGAATCTGCAACGCTGCCCTGTGATTGTATGTAAACGAAAATACTTCATGTAATGACAGAAGTCCCTTGAACTGGCCTGCTCCTCCTTCAGGCCCCTTAGAAAGAGACAGCCCTCATGGCAGGGCATGCGATTTGTGATGGCATGGACTAAGGGAAGGATAAAATTGCCACTTCATCCATCTCTCACTGTTACTGCTTTATGCTGTTTTAACAGGCAACATTAAAAAAACCCTAAAGTATTACAAATTCTTCTTTTTACCCTCTCTTATTTCTTTTGCTGTTGGGTCCTCTGAAATACAAACCAGCTCATGCACATACACAAACTTACTGCAAATCTGATCACAACAGAGACCTGTGGAGAGTCTCCACTAAAAACACACTACAGCCCCTTTTACACCATAAGGGACATTTAATCTTGATGAGACAATTCCCATTAAGCAGAAACAAACACCATTTATGGCTCAACCCCAGAAGGCTACTCAGTCCCCACCAAACAGAGCACAAATATTTTGCATTAACCTAGCCTGACTCTCAAACATTTATATGCTGAGAAAGCCCAGCACTTTTTCCCATCATATTCGTAGATGGTGTAACTGTGTCTGAAGTGGAAAGGTGTTACACAGGCGCAGGAGAGGGTCAGGACTAGGGTTCAATAAAGAGAGGGGAGGCAGCAGTGGTGAGCTTGGGGTGTGCTGGGTGGCAGGGAATATGGCTAGGGCCAGCACCCCAGTGTTCCCCTGAAGCAGAAAGAGAAGCAGGAAGGAGACTTCCCTTTGTTGGCAAACTCTCAGCAGTATTGCAAGAGACAGACAATTAGGTTCCACAGGAAAACAGCCACTGAACCCAAATTCGGTTTGATGTTGCCTTATCAAGACAGCAGATTTTCTGTTTGAAGGCAGAATTGTTCCTACTTTGCCTACACAAGAACTGTGTTTAACAGGAGCAATACTGAAAACTGAGCAAATCCAACTGTGGCATTGTGCAGTAATAAAGACACAGCATAAAGGGAAACACTATTTAACCAGTTCATCCACATCCTGCCACCTGGCATTCACTCTGGGACTCCACATTTTAACTTCTACTTGAAAATTACAGTGAAGTTTTGTTCAGTAAACATTAAATAGTGAACACCATGCCTTTTTAAAGAAAAAGATTTAATGTTCAATATTTTTAACACTTAATATTTTTCTTCTAAAGTTTGTAAAAAACTGAATTATGAATATACTGTTTCTGCAAGGCAGCGTGGCTCCTCCAAACACTTACACAACCGGGCTCCAATTTCACTTTCTTTGCAAGATTAAGACCCTAAAAGCCGAGGGTGCTAATATAATGCACTTATGTTATAAAACTAAAGAGAAAGCAAGCTTGAACAGATGGGTAAAGGCTTCCTCAAAATACAGACCCCAACCTCCCTTTACTTCAAAATAAATAGATTCACATTATTTTTAAAGGTAAGTTGTGACAACCTTGCTGATTAGTGCAATTCATGTGGCAGCATTCACTTTTCTCTAGCTCTCTACTGCATACTGAAAATAAGGCAATTAAATGAGAAAATTAATTCCATTAATTAAAACTGTTCAGTCTAAGCAAGACAGAATGATCTGAGTGAGAATTACAGCTGTGTAAAATGTACATAAACCAAAATGTTTTCCTTGACATGTACTCTCCTTTAGGAAGGATAAATCTTGCAGCAGAAACCAATGGTAATGCTGTTTTAACAGCATCATAAAGCTGGAGAGAGATATGAAAAGGTCTGTTTTATCTTTTAAAGAGAAAACCCCTGATGTGCATAGGAAAATTTACAAGTAAAATACCATCCTTCCCACAAATTCCTTACTGGTGAGCCCAAGTGAAAACCCTGGTCAATTCAGGAAAGAAAATCATTAAACTTTGCTGAATCCATAAAGTACCGTAGCTGAAGTTTCAATACAGATCATTTTATAGTAAAATTAAAATAGAAGCCCTTTTTAATTATATAAAAGGTGCACATTATTACTGAGGAGAGGAATACATGCTTTCCTCAAGAACCATAAAATTGGCTGCTGGGAATTAGACTTCAGCTGCAATTATTATATGGTCCTATAAAGGATATTGAAAGTCTGATAAAATTGCACCCTTGTCATGTAACAGCGATTCTTAATGCTAAATAACCACTCTGCAGCATTCCAGCCATAGCTTTCTCAAAACATCACTGCTCCCTTCTCACATCGAAAAGAAAACATAGCAGGATCTTGGAGCTAAAAGTATACCTAAATATTTGAAATACCATATGAACAGGTCAAAAGATATGTAAAGCCACACTGAGGCAAACCAACATGTGATAAATGAATACCGATGGCCTTTTATAAAGGAAAGCCCTCCATGGAGACATACCCAACATAACAGACTATGTATGATGAGAAAGCATTAAAAAACGCCAATACAGTGAGGCAAGCACCTACTGCATATGCCTAACTCAGCCCTACCACATCGTGATGAATACCAGTGCCATACATTCCTAAAGGCCGTTTTCCCTTTCAGTGGAGTATGTGTTGTAAACAGTGAGTATTTGTTACATCTACATACAGCAATAGGAGACTGGATGGGCTGCTCCTTGAGAACCTGGAATTTGCTTTTAGCAACATCAGTATGCTCCCCATGAGCCTCTCAAGCCCGCAGACAGAGCATGGGATTAAACCTTGTAGGTATTTCTAACCCCAGAGACTCCATCTCACAACTTAGCCACACTGAAATTGTTACACATAGTGAAAGTATCAGAGAAATATTTCTCTGACACATAACATAAAGGCACACACAAGGGAGGGCTGGACATGAGAGGGACTGTGGAGTGTGGAAGAAGGGGTGTAAATGTTGCTCTTTTCAGTGATGGAAAGGAGAAAATTCTCCCACAAAGAAGTACTGTCAAAGTCCCTCATCATTTAGATCCTACAGTATGGGTGGGATCTATGTCCTGCTTTCTCTGTAGGGCTTCGGTCTGACTGCTGCTCAAATCTCAGCATGTGTGACAGTGCCAGGCTTCAGAAAAAAGCCTCCGAACAAGAGTATAAAATCATAGAGACACACTCATATGCAAACAGCTCAGCCAGGGCAAGATCTGGAAGTGGAGACTTGGACTCCTAACTCCCTCTCATCTTTGTGTATAGTTGGAAAAGAAAAATCTGTTCAGACAGTATTTATCTACCACTGGGGAGAGCAACAACAAAAAATCAATTCCCAAAGTGTAAAAAGAAACAAAACTGGAAACTTCTGATGCCAAATGTAAAGGAGAATTGAAAACACATACAATATAGGCTTTTGAATAAAATGTATGGTCCCACTAACACTGAACAGGATTGAAATTTGGTAGACATTTACTTTTCAGTAAAAAGGCTTTTTGGGAAGGTATTAAAAATTTCCCCTGTCCTTTGAAAGTATAAATCTTGCTGCCTCTTGATGAAGCTTCAACATGTATCTTTTCTGTTCAAAATGTCCAAACCCTCTAATAAATGCACAACTGAGAATCACACAATACTGTCACAATAGGAAATGATTCCTACGAACATTAAAAATGATAGTTCTTTCCCTCAGAAACACTACTGGAGCATACCAGTTTCAGAGTAAAACCATTGCTCAATTTACCTTATCAAAGGTAAATGGAAAACTGCCCAGCAGCATTCCCAGGAACATAAGCCATCAGGTATTCAGAATAAGGAAATCATTTGCTTACCTGGAACATCAATTAATCTCTTATAAACATTCAAGAAGGCTGCCTCTGCTTCTTTGCTTCTTTTACCCAATGCGTCGATCTAAAGGGTGAGGAGACAAGAAGGCTTTAGGCTTGTTCCAATACAACTCTTACGCTCAGAGCTATAACAATAAATTAATATATTTCATATAAAACTAGTTAACACATAACAAGGGAACTCAAGTGTGCAGCTCCTATAGAAGCAGCCTTGTCAGGATATTCCTGGTACATTTGTACCGAATGTAATTTGAAGTCCTGTTTCAGCACAATAGGAAGCATCAATATTTTTATGAACTCTACTTTCTGTTGTGACTCTTTACTTTAAATCTGTATAAAAAGCATGGTATTTCCCAGATAGGTTCTCTCCTCAACAACTCTTTACCACTTACCAAGCCCTAACACAATGAACGGGAACCACATGCACTTCTGATGTCACCTCTGCCTTTGTTGTGGCTAAGGTATTTTTCTACTATTTCCAATAATAGAGTACGAGATGATCAAGAGATGTACTTGTTGGGCACTCAAGAGCTCACACCAGGCTCTATGGCTCGTTTCTCCTTGTGTTTTGTAATACACACAGTACTGATTTAAGCAGCTGTCTGCCCAGGTGAAGAAAAATACCACCCCACACAATCTGTTATTTTCCCTTAAAACTTCATTTTACAAGAAAAGGCAGCTCTTTGGCTCTGAGATTAAACTACATATTCCATAGCAACTTTTTTCAGTAAACATGTCTTACTAATGTACTAGAAAACAGAGGATTTACGGTTACTAAATACTGACAAAAACCAACCAAACTGACCCAAGCCCAGGTCCATTGAATTAATATTCCAAAGCAGAAAGAGACAGAAAGGGAAACAGGAAAGCCTGACACAGTTCTGCGGCAGCTTACTGAAATCAGGAAACTAAGAGTATGGAGATTATCATTCCCATATGGTAATAAAAAGCAAGGAAGGATCTGAAGAACTACGGATACAAAGGCCTGATATCAATTCTTCTGTGTATTTGAGAAGCAGTTAATATTATGAAACCATTTAAAGGTGCATACGTCAACATGTACTAAAAAAGGAAGGTCCTGTCTGAAAAACGTCCTTGAATTCTTTCACTACTTTATTGATTTGGGAGATAAGGCAGAAACAATGGACAGAGTTGCCTGTATCTGTATTTCAGGAAAGTATTTGATATTTTATTATGCAGGAGGGAGATCTGCAGAAGCAGCAAACACGGTACAAGCCTGCCCGGGTGCGGAGCTCTGCAGAGTGCTGGGGCACAGGAAGCCCAGAGTGCCAGGGAAAGGAAGCGGCGCAGGGAGGAGGAGAGATAAGCAGAAGGGTGCTGCAGGGTCAGGTTTGGTGCCACTTCTGTTTATGCTGTACTAAAATGACTTTGTGAAGGGAAGGATTTGGGGAGGGTGGGGAATCCTACAATGGCCATAATTAAAACAACGGAGTCAGACTCAAAGTGCACTGGAGCAGAGCGCAGGAGCACCGTGGGGCTCCTGTAGATGAGTCTTGCAGCTGGTGAGAGACTTGTAGAGATCATTAGGGAGAGGATTAAGGCCAGAAAACCAAAGGACAAGGACAACTGTAGAAATTACACGGAAGCACAATGCACAGCATATAAGCCAAGAAAAGACTGGAGGGGAGGGGTCAAGGAGGGAAATCAGGACACTGGAAGCATCTGCACAGCATTTGGCAGCAGCAGTGGAATCTTGAGAGATACGGCGGGAGGTTGTGAAGAGACAAGTTCTTGTAACAACACAAGACTGGCCTTAGAAAAACAAAGCAAATTCCTATTTTGCTTACCCCCCAACCCCCCCCCCCCCCCAATCTGCATCAATTTATGCAGCTTGGTGGAGTTGTGTTAGAGCTGAACCCTGACCTATTTGCAACTCATCCATTTAAAAAAGAAATGGTATTGGAAAGACGATAGACAGGCAGCAGAGCCCAAAATGGTGGAGGACATGGAGAGCAGATATGAATTCTCAAATGCTGGCCACACTTGTCTTTTAGAGTTCACCAAGAAAGGCTATGGAAAGGCACTGAAATCTCACAGGGCACAGGATGTGCTGGAGAGCAAGGGATTGATGGTTGTGAATAACCCATTTATTAACTTGAATTCAAGCAATCACAGATGGACCAATGCTCATTAGGGAATGAGAACATAAGTAATTCGGTTAGAACATTTTCACACAAAGAATATTTGAAATTAGAATATGGAATAAAGTGCCAAAGGCAGAGAGGCACCGGGTAGTGTAAATGAATGCTTGGGAGTATCCGACACCATTTGTGAACGGGCGAGAAAGGAGGGGGGAGCCATCAGAAAGACTTTTGCAGTCGAAATATTTCATGGGTACATAAAGACAGACTTTGAAGGCCAAAGCACACCATATGTTAAGACTTCTGGACTTTAACATTCCCACATACAATTTTCTCTTGCTGCTGCTCAGCAGAGTACAGCCAGATTTAAATTACTATTATTAAATACAATTAGCATTATAGAGCTGATTCTGTACTGTATTCTGAAAAATCCATTTGCCCCTTTTACAAAACCCAAAGCATTTTAAATGCTTACACTTCTGTGAAATAATAGGATGGATTTGTTTTCCCATTACAGGTTCTTCACGTTTTAATAAAGGGCATTTGCACCTATATTCTCACTAAGCATTACAAAAGGTATGGTTGATTCTCTTCTTACCAGTTATACAGTGACTGAAATGTAAACCAGAAGTGAAACAACATCTTCCAAGATCAGAGGCTTTCTGATGGAAGCAGTCTGTACATCACAGGAACTTTCACACCATTCCCCCCTACTCAGAACCACAATTCCAAACAATCCCACCAGGCAGAGAGATTTTTTTTGCATTTTAGTTGTTACCAAAAAATCAATCTGTAGGGTTGAAAGTTCTGCTAAAACCAAGCTCTGCAACTATTTTATATCTTAAAATACAGAAAAGGCACCATGACGACTTTAACTGGAACAGAAATGCCAGTTTCCACCGGTGTAAGGAAATAAGGAAATAGAGGATGAAAAAGCTATCAAAAATAGCAAATCATAAATGAAGTCCAGAAACAGCGGAAGCGGCACTGAAATGACATGGAAGGAAGTATTTGGAAGTTCACTGAAGAATTTTCAACTCAAAGTAAAATTGGTTCAGGAGCCAACAAGGATAAGCTGCAATCAGCTCACATCAAAACAGTTAAACTACACTATAAAATTCTTGTTGAACATTTTTATTTGACTCTAAAAATTTCAGGGACCCTGAAAGAACTCAACTTATAATTACACTAGTGTAGTCTTGACATGAGTTTAGCTCCAAAGCTTAATTTATCTAAACCAGGCCCCATTATGTCTTCTCTGACTAGAAAGAAACACCCATGACCTCTGTATTCCCCACCACCCCCATAAACATATGTTCACTTTTAAGTTTTGGCATACTATTTGTCTTGATAATACCACTGGCGCTATACTGAGATAACAAAAATGAGACACTAGGAATCCTCCCTCCCTCATCTTTAAAATATCACTGAAGCTCTATGGAAGGAGCCACAGCGAGACACTGGTTTTAGAGCAGTCCTGCCTTTATCCACCTTATTTTTCCAGGTCAAGTGCTTTCATGAGTTGTTGCTCAGGGTACCAAGTTCAGTTGGAGGCTGAATGATCCCTTTTCCCTCTGTAACCATCTCTCTCCAACCTGCCCATGAAGACCTTCTTGGTCTGCTCCCATTCTCCACTCCCAGAACAACAGCTGGTCACCTGGTATCGCTGTCATACTAGTCCAGCAGCACGGGCAGCTATTTTAGACATTCTTGGTCACAGTCTGGTATTTACTACACCTGGCTAAAATCAAACTATCATCAATGAAATCAACACTTTTATCTCCACATTAAGGTAAGCACCGTAAATCCAGCCTGCTCTGTCAGGGAAGATGCTGGATGTAGTTTTATCTGAACATTGCCTCTTTCCATTTCAGTTACATCCAGTCAAGGTCAAAAAGATAAAAGCAAAATCTGTGGCTTTATTTTGGAATCTCTCACTCTCTATACACTAAGAAATTAAAGCATTAATTCAAGTCTGGTATCTACTGCCCCACAAATGACCTGGGTTCAGGTTAGCAGGAGCTGGATCTCTTTTATGCTGTACATACAGCACAGAATTGTCTCACTGAATGCAGTTACACAGAAGGCTGCACAGTTATGTTTCTGAATTTAAAGATGGAACAGGAAGACAAAGCTCTTTGCTGGGAAGCTGGGGCTGCCAAATGCTGGTGCATTCTGCACTGACACTTAAAACTCTCTGAACTTAAAGATACCAGCACATTAACACATTTGCAGACCACAAGCCCAGCACATGGCCATGATGTGTTGCTCCTGACAGACCAACTTGGGTCATTCAGCACTGTTGTGTTCGTCTTTTGATTTTAGATAACTTGGCATCCCAAATGAGGTCCCTTCACTAAAGCGCAGGGATCTCATTGTTCTCTGTGTTTGTATGGCATTACTGAAGTATTGGTGATTTACCTGCAGTATAACTGCATATCCAGTGTCTCAGACACAAGCATTCACACAACTATGATAAATATTAATAATGAAGATAAGTCTTCTACTTATCTTCATTGTTCTCCAGTTGTAATTCTCACTCTCATTAGGCCACCTTAATGTGAAAGATTAGTCTTCTACTGTCCTGCACCCAATTTGCAACTAGGTTAATTGAATAAAAGTAAATTACTTCAACTCATTTTTTCTGTTCTGATTTTTAATAAATAGATGCCTTAATCACACACATACACACACATTCATTCACAAAGCTCCCTCACACTTCTTTTATTGTGTTGTTTTGCATCACAAAGTTTTCCATTTCTCTCCAATTACTTGGAGCTACCAAAAAGCCACTAAGAATTCTAAGAAACAGCTTAAACAAAGGGAGAAGCAGAAGCACGCGTTAAGGTGCCATTATTTTAAGCCCTGCTGTATTCTTGAATAGCCGCCTTGGAATCAAACGGGGGTACAGCCAGCTTTATTAACGCCATGCAATGGCATCGGTCTTCCTTTGAAGCCATGA